GTTCTTCATTAGAGTTTTTGAAGAGGTGTTAGGCTTGTGATCAACCAGTTAACAATTCCTGTGGTGTTAAATGCTTCGTCAGAAGAATAGAGTTATAGTAAATACTGTAAAGTAAGACCATGTCTTTTGTAACAAATATTATAGCGCTATGTAATGAAGGCATTGTCTTTGATATTACCCCTTTATTTGTAACTATATGTATAAATTAAATTTCTTGGGCACACATGTGTAACTGGTTTTGTGCTTAAAACTAGGTGCTACATTATTCCCACGCCCGTCATCACCATACAAAAAAATTAACTTGCTGCAAAAGGGATTCAAGCCTTGGCATCCAGAGAAACTAACGACCCATGACCCAATAGCTATTTCGGCAGAAATAAAGAAAAAAAAAGTGGCCACCAAGTTTCGACCATGAGACCTCCAGGTAGGTCTATGTCCCGAGCACTTAACCATTAAACCACAACTGCATCTATGAGAAAAATGATGACCATATCTATTAAGTGTCAACAGCCAACATTCCAAAATATGCAGATCCCAATTTTGAATTGTTCAAAAACAACTCGAATGAAGAAATAATCAAAACAAAAGTTGTACATGTCAATGAGTTCTAAAAATGAATAATTGACAACTTTTCCATCTGTAATCATTTAATATCCCAAACTTTTGTAGGCATCCATGATAAAAAATAGATTGAAAATGGGGTGAAAACAGGATAAAAAAATGGCCCATCTTTGATGTTGGGCTGTTAATAAATGGGCTGGGATGGTGATATCATCACCCATGTCATCATCCATGTCATCATCCACGTCATCATCCACGGAAGCAGCCATGTAGGCATCCATGATGATGTGGTAATTCATTTGCGACGGTTTTTTTCATCACAGGAAATGGACTTGGGCAGGGCTAACTAGGCCTCGGGCTCTACCATGACGGTTTAAAACCATCACTGATTCTCTTAATCTGTGATGGTTTTTGGTAAACCGTCACGGGAGTTAATCCATGACGCTCAATCCATGATGATATCTAAAACCATCACAGATGCTACATAGTGACGGTTTTTTGGTGATCCGTGATGGAAATTTTTCATCATTGATTAACAGGTTTCTTGTAGTGCAGTTTGGCATACCATCCGACGGTGGTGACGTTGACATCTACACCGGACTGGTGTATCATCCGACGATGATGGGGGAGACATCAATGCTGGTTTGGCATACCATCTGGCTATGATGATGTAGACATCAACACTGGACCGACATACCGTCCGGCGATGATGGTGGAGGCATCAATGCCGGGCGGGCATACCGTCCGCGCGGTGATGATGTATACATCAATGCCAGACAGGCATACCATCCGGTGGTGACGATGGATACATCGACGCTTGACGGGTGTGCCCTATGACAGTGATGATGGAGACATCAACGTCGGTCCCATGTTCCATCCAGTAGTGATGTAGGTATCAGCACGACCGATCGGCGTTCCATCCGGCGGTAATGAGGGGGGCATCACCGCCACCGTTGAATTTGTTCCAGCGGTAATGTCTTGTGTCCATTACCGCCGGTGTTGGCACTTGTACATCATTGTTTATAATATAATTGTAATAATAAATACAAAAACTTCATGGTTTACATCGCTAGCAACATATATATATATAGAGACAATGTATTGTATCAAAACATACATCACCTCTGAGGCACAAGTCAATACAACAAATCCAACCATAGCGACATAGATTTTAGAACACAAACAAACATAAGATCATTGATATAGACAAGGCCCGATCTTCCAATAGATATGATAACTTCGATTGGTAGAGAACTCAACGTTCACAATCTAGGCTTCGAACCAAGTTGATTCGGACCCCCACAACCGTTACACCACTGCTCCATTGGTTATCCACCACGCACAACACGATTGACCTCGCCAATTAGGCTTTCCTGTAAGTGAATCGAGAACACAAGCAAGAACGGACAAACGCAATCTGAAATTACAAATAAATACGAAGGTTATGAATTTGAAAAGGAGTTCAAGTCTTTATTCGGAAGGACTAATCGCCACAGGCGAACAAGATCAAGAACAGGGGCCCTAGTTTAATAGCAAACGATCTAGGCGATACATTTGCAGCGAAGTGTCTATTTCACGTGGAAAACAAAAACACAACAAAACCCAACCTTAACGAGAGCGGCGGCAGCTAATTATAGAGTCTTAGGCATCACCCCCCTGGATGCATAGATTCAATACACACTAATGGACGGCATTAAGACGATACACGGCCTAACGGATCAAAAGACGGTGTCGCAGCACCCTGGCAGATTCTGGATGCTGACTTATTTCGATGATTCCCGTTGACTCCAGATGAGTTGAGTTTTGATGTGAAACCAAATACATCGGTTAGCTTATCAAATTATCTTTCCAAGCATATGTGGATCGTCGAAAACGGAGTCTATATGCGCCCTGGGCATTGATTTTACTCGGGACTGCTCCTGGATTCCGAGGTGGACTCGAACTTGATTTGGGCCTCCACCTTGGCGACTCGAACCGGATAAGCTTTGGGCCTCCTTCTCGTGTTGGACACTCTTACTAATGTCCTTGGCCTCCATGTGACTCTCCAAGCATGGTTGGATGCATGTAGGTCATGTCCTCGTCAATCGTCCATAATGAAACCGGCATTACAAGGTGAAGAACATTCCATAAAGAAATCAGGCATGCGGGAGGAGGTGGAGGAGTTTTTTTGACAGCCAGCGGCAGATGGCCTTCATGTTCAGCCTGATGGTTCATTCCTGATGAACGGTCCGGATTCAATACACACTAATGGACGGCATAGATTCAATACACACTAATGGACTACAAAAAAAAGAACATCATATATACCATACGCCAAGGAAGACCTACCTATCACCGTACTTTATAGCGATGTACGAAGATAAGTAAACGAGCATGAACCATCACCACATGAAATGGCGGTGGGAGTTATAACACCACCGTAACATGCTGTCTGCACCAGAGAATAAATCAATTTGCAAACAAATTCATCGTAAGAACAAACCGGCGGTGAAACTTCTGATCACCGCTAGCTCGGCGGATGATGCGGTGGTCCGAACTGTTGTAATTTTCACCGCCAGATCATAAAGCGAACCAACGGTGGTAAAGATTTTCCACCGCCTCGCCGGCTCTAATGAGTGGTGCATCTTTCCATCTTGAAACCGGTGGTGAAACTTCTGATCTCCGCCGGTTTGTATGTGTGTCGCGCATTGGATGACCAACCGATGGTGCTAAATGTTTACACCACCGGTTTGGCGTATGATACGGCGGCAAAGACCGACGCTGTGTTCACTGCCGAACCATACGCCGGGCCAGCGGTGAAAATGTTATCACCGTCAATAAGTCACCCTTCTGGGCCCCTTAGACTATGAACCGGCGGTGACAAGCATCACCGCCGGTTGTCATATAATCAGCGGTGAAAGTCCCGTTGGTGATTAAACTTTCTGTAGTAGTAATATTTCTCGACATCAGTCCGTCCTCAAAAGGTCGAAACCTACATGGATAGTTCGTATCTGAATCCGAACATTTAAAATTTGTGCCGTATTTGAATCTAAATACTCAAAATCAGATTTTTGATATGTATATGCGATAGATATCCAACATGATTCGTATCTGGTTCCAAGATGCGTCATGGGGATTCCAGTGGATAGTGCAAGATAATGACCACAACGATGGAGGCTGCTGGGTCGTAGCTGTGGGAAGCGGCACGACACAGAGGAACCAGGGGTGTTGTCTTTTTTTTTTTTTTATAAGGGAACCAGGGGTGTTGTCGATGTTGTTAGAAGGGGCAGCATGAGCTAGGCGATGAACGGGAGGAAAAGGATAGCTTCTTTTTTTGCTGAGTGGATTAGGAAAACCTAGTAGAAATCTAATGGCCTAAAATTATTGGGCTTTATGTAAACTTGTTCGCAATTTGAATGAGGCATTTTAGTAGGCAAATGGATTCGTTTCAACGAGCTCTATGCAACCAGTCCCTGATCGTCCATACGTCTTATGGTTCAGAAAGTGTAACTTTCTCCTCGCGTTGGTCCGTCCGATCAACCCACTAACTTTATAAAACTACAGAGTATTACACAAGCTACAAGCCAGCTTTTATAATCTAGTGTGGATCAAAACAGGCCCTAGAGTGTCATGTTTAAAATATTTTGAGATGCAACAGTACTTCCAATTTCTTTATGGCACTGCAGTTAAAGTACGGTTCTAAAAAAGGTTGAGAGGTTTCAAAAAGGAGCTTGTGTTGCAAATAGTGCAAGAAATAAGAGAAAGAAGACGTGCAAGAAATAAGGAGTATCTGTTGTCCAAGTTTTGTCTTTAATTCCAATTTACTGAGAAATATACGTCTTTGTCCTACACCCTCCACCTACTTCCCGTCCTATCCCCACCAGCTGCCGAATTCCCAGGACAATACAAAGTTCCTAACTATCTCAAAGTTGCATTGGGAGTCACGTTTTCAAAATGATTATCACATTTGTTTGATAATAACTAGAAACTTACTTGCAGCCATAAATAGTGATATCTTTGCATTAACATTATCTCCAAAATAAGCTTTGATTAATATTATTCTACAAAATATTTACAAAATACATCAACAGTATAGTTTTCTGCAACTAAGCTTCAAAATAAATTAAATCTACCGTGTCTTTAAATATCTGAACTCGACAAATGAACAATATTATGCAACCCAAAGCTTGAAGTTATTGAATTAAGACGACCACAAATGTCAGTGTCATTTCTAGTTGTGGTATGCTATCTAACTGAATCCATGTTTAAAAGATGCTCCAGTTTCTTTTGGCGCTTCAGTTAATGTACGCTTCTAAAAAAAGAAAAATGAAAGGTTTCAATGGAGCCCCAACCTTTAAAAACTCAAGACCCTCATCCCTTAGTTCATCATAGTGCTCAGTTGCATAGATAAAGCCAGCGTGAGAAATAAGGAAGAATACTACGTGCTTCAAGGGGGAAACATGATCTTCTCGAGTAACCTCAGGCATGTCAGATCTCTCTACCAGCTAGTAGTTGTGAACAAAACCCTCCTAGTCATCGCCGTTTCACTGATCATTACCGGAATCTTCTTTGGGGCTCTACATCTGGGTTTCAGTCAGCATATTGCGCATGTCGATCTCCATGCCCTGCAACCCATCCACTGGTTTCTAGCCCTAGCAGCCGCACTTACCTATTATTATCTCCTGAACCACTCCCACAATGTATACCTTGTTGATTATGCTTGTTTCAAGCCGAATTTCCTCTACCGTTCTCCCCGTTCCACCTTCAACGAGCACATGCACTCCATGCCATTCCTTGAAGACCGCACCAAACACTTCATCACACGTGTGGCCGAGCACTCAGGACTCGGCGATGAGACCTGCCTCCCCCATGCCTTCTCCTATATGCCTCCAATCTACAATTTGAGGGAAGCCCGAAGTGAGGCAGAGTTGGTCGTTTTCTCGACAATTGATGACCTTTTCAGCAAGTCGTCAATCAAACCAAGTGCAATTGATATACTGATAGTCAACTGCAGCGCGTTCGCCCCAACACCATCGTTCAGTGACATGATCATAAACAGATACAAGCTTCGTAGTGATATCTATAGCCTGCACCTCTCCGGGATGGGGTGCAGTGCAGGACTCATATCGGTGGGACTAGCCAAGAACCTTTTGCAGAGCACACCACATGGCAGATATGCATTGGTAGTGTCTACGGAGACGATCTCAAACCTGATGTACAAGGGGAAGAAACGAGAGATGCATTTGCCCAGTGTCCTATTCCGCATGGGTGGGGCTGCTGTATTGCTATCGAATTCTAGGAACAATAAGCAGGCACGATACCGGCTCAGCCACCTCACTCGAATGATTACTACCTCCAGCGAAAGTGCTCACAATTGTGTGAAGCTAGACGAAGATGAGGAGGGAAACATGGGCGCCATCCTATCCAAGGACATCATTGCTGTTTCTGGCGAGGCGTTGAAGACAGGTATCAGCTCCATTGGCCCCCTTATCCTCCCAGCCACGGAGAAGCTACTGTTTCTGCTTTCCTGCATGGCACGGAAGGTTCTCAATGATAGGATAAAACTGTATGTCCCAAACTTCTGCACGGCCGTAGAGCACTTCTGCATCCATCCTGGTGGACCAGCAGTGATCGATGCTGTCCAAAATAACCTCCGTCTCTCGGACACGCATGTCGAGCCATCACGGATGACACTGCATCGGTTTGGGAACACATCCAGCAGCTCTTTGTGGTACGAGCTAGCATATGTTGAGGCTAAAGGTAGGATGTGCAAGTATGATCGAGTGCTGATGATTGCATTTGGCTCGGGTTACAAGTGCAACATCGCTGTATGGGAGTGTATCCAGCAACCCCGCTTTGCTGATGGACCATGGGCCAAGTGCATCCATCAGTATCCAAAAAACCATTGCCCAAACTAAGAGCAACACATGAGTTGAAGCCTTTGCTGTCAATGAAGGGAATTGATGTTAATGGTTATACTAGCTACATAGAACTAATAAAAATAGTTATATTAATTTCTATGTTTCCCTTTTGTTCATTTTCTGACACAGTAAACATGTAGACACTTTACTGGCTCTATTTAGCGTACTTCCTCTATTCCAAATTATAAGATGTTTTGGCTTTTTTTAATATATACAGTGTTTGCTATCTACTTAGATATATACTATGTCTAGGTACATAGTTAAAGCAATATATCTATAAAAGCCAAAAAATCTTATAATTTAGAATGGAGGAAGTAATAAACTTATCCATTAATGATCTCTATGTTTCTCATCAATATATATAGTTTTTTTCTTTGTTGGCACCTCCATGTATCATCAGTATGCACTTAGTTGAAACCTTAGTTTAGGTGGCTCATGTGTTGCATCCCATGTCTCATGACATCATGAATCTAAATTTTGATTTTCAAATTTTGATATTAATAGTTGCTACAATTTTGTATGCTTAAGTTAAGTTGAAACTATTGTACTTAATATATCTTTAGTTAATTCTCCTTTTGTATTTTATTAAAAAATTAGGTTGCAATTGCTGAATACACTCTTAAGTACTATAATGATATAAATGGTCATTTAAACATGCATCTTGTCTCTCATGATCGGAGGTAGAGCTTTGAAGTGGGATCTAGGATGGATGTAACGATGCTAACCTTAAAAGGACATTAATATTTTAGTTTTATAATTGTTTTTCACTTTAAAGGAATCTCAAAAAAACATGAAGATATTACCAACTTTGGTCTTACTAACCTCTCCAATTCTCAAGATGTTTCAATTTTCTTATCAAATTAAAAATTTATACGGTTAGTGAGATTGCTTTATTATAAAAAGTTGAGTTCTTATACAATTATAAGATCAGTATAATATGTCAAACATTTCACTCAAAATGTATTAATTTATCTAAATTAATAATTTTTATGAAATATATCCCATGGATATTATAAAATCAACTCGAATACAGACAGCATATTATAATACCCTTGAACTCCAATACCATACAGCGTACCTCTCTTAACTTTTAAAATCGGACAAAATTGCCGTCCAAAATGGTTTGGAGTGGTTTGATGACCTAACATGAATATATGCATGTATTATTGAAGTAGTAGGCAAGCACAAAGACCAAAAGGTATGATTGTCGGGCGGCCGGGATCTTCCTTTTTGCTGACGAATGGTGGGTCTACGAAGTAATCGTGGCTCTCCCGACATAGAGGCTTACCGAACCTCGTTGAGACCATTTTAACAGATTTGAGAGAAGTTTCGGGTTGCCCTGGATTCTTTCCCGAATCAAAGACAGGTAAAGCGGCAGCAATTTGAGCTATTTGTGTTTCGATCATTTTATTAAAGCTCAGTTGGTTTTTCACTGAGGAGGATAAATTTTCAAATTTTGAATTTATATTTTCAATCATTTTATCATTATATGAAAGCTTTTTAGTAAAATTTTCATTTATTTTAGCTTGACCAAGCACTAGGACTTTCAAGGACGGTTGATTTGAATTATAGTTGGAGTTGAAATTCGAATTACCTCCTTGTGGGCAGGATTGGTTGTTCCACCCATTATTGTTACCTTGTGGGAACCCATTGTTGATATACGCAGCGTCTTCATTGGTTTCGAGGCAGTTGTTCCCCGAATGTCCGACCTCACCACAGACTTTGCAAGTCATTTGCGATTCTGAGGCCTGAACGGTGGCCTTCATAGCTTCTTTTTCATGGGCCCTTTCGTTCAGTCTTGAGAGTAACAAGTCTATTTTTTGTGGCAAGCATATCCGTCTCCTTCACGGTATGCATGCCTTTTTGTTGTTTTCGTTCCTCTCCCCAGCCCTGGTTTGCCACCATCTTCTCGATGAGTGCCATGTCATTAGCGACAGCGAGAGAAAGGAACGCCCCTCCAGCAGCGGCATCTACGTGCCCCTTCGACATGAGCGTGAGCCCCTCGTAGAAGTTGTAGAGCACGAGCCAGTCCTCCATTCCGTGGTGCAGGTATGCTTGGATGTAATCCTAGAGCCTTTCCCACGCCTTGGGGATGGATTCGAGTGAAGATTGCTGGAAGTTTAAAATTTTCCCCCTTAGGGCATTGGTTTTGCCCATGGGGAAAAATTTTGCGAGGAACACTGCGGAACATTTGTCCCACGTACTGGCAGCTTCCATTTCTTTGTAGAACCATTGTTTTGCCTTCCCCGCAAGGGAGAAGGGAAATAGACGGAGCCTGATGCTTGTTGGTGCGACGTGTATAATGACAATGGTGTCACACAGCTCCAAGAAGTGTTGCAAGTGTGCACTTGCATCTTCGTTTGGCAAACCACAGAATTGGTTTGCCTGCATCATCGTAATGAGGCCAGTCCGGAGATGAAAGTTTCTGATGCCCGTGTTGACAGCAGGCCCAACGGGCCCGTTGGCAACATTGGGGGTGCAGTAGTCACAGAGTGACTTGGCCATGACGGTAGTAGCAGATGGTACGATGGTGACTGGTTTGACTGTCGGTGAAGTAGCAAAAGAAGAAGCAGTACGAGACCTGTTCTTCCTTAGGAGTGCCTCCAGATTATCGGTGTAGTTGTTCGACAGATCAAAACCACTCATACAATATCCTGTTTTCATCCACAACAGGAAGAAAACAAGCAAAATTAGCCTACATAAACTATGGCTACCATTACATGCATGTGATCATTGTTCATGTCATGCTAGATTCTTTCAACCAATGCCCTCCACGGTAACGGCGCCAGAAATGCTTGTTGGTATTTCTTAGCCCAATCACCAAGTGAGGAGGTTTTAAGTCCATCACCAGCAACGATGCCAGAAATGCCTATTGGTATTTCTTAACACCATTACTAAGATTGAGTTAATCTTAGTAACGCCGCCAAGAAACACCAACTACGATAGTTCTTAATGATTATTGAGAATATCTGCAAGCGCACGGATCTATCGTTGTAGCATTTCACCCGAAAATATTCACGGTATCGTTATTTATATTTTCCTAAAGGAGGGCAAGGTATAAGAGTCTAGCATGGTTATAAACATGATTACATACTTGCATTGTGGACCATAGTACATGATAGGGGTAAAAACAGTATTTCATAGATAGTGGACACACATCTGGGCCAACCTCAAGGATAAAAGGAAACAAAGAATAAAAGAATGTTCCTAAGCGGAGCCGGCATGTCCTAATATAGCCGTGCAAAGAACAGTTAATGAACATATAAGTTACATGACTAGAGTTAGAACTAAGTGTGAGATGGATGGGGAGATCTCCGGGCACTGGTCTGCCAGCAAGCCAGGGAGACTTTAAGACTCCTACATAATACCCGGACATGGGGGATTACAAGAGACGGACAGGGCTGTCACCACCTGCCGCCTACCCCTAAACCATGGGATACCATCATATCTTAAGGTTCCCGTGTACCCAAGCACCACGCCCATGTACAAAGAAACTACCCATATCCCCCCTGGACTCCGACCCTACGGACCGACAAGCAAGAATATGGGCAAACCCAAAGCAACGACGAACTGCCACCTCAACCCTAGCTCTACTTCTACTCATACAAATCATATGAATGATTAAGCATAAAGTTCTACATGTCAAGATCATAGCATACAAACTATATACTAGTTCATATATTATGATTATAACACGAGAACAATAGTCTAGTTCATATGCATTGCTATATTGTAAGTATGAGAACATGACTATGGAAGAACTCTTTATATTCATACCAAGTGTTGCTTTTCTTCCAAGGAGACAAGCTCTCCAAGTAGCCCTTGCTAGCTCCAAAGACTACTACTAAAAACTAAAAGAGTACAAGATGTGGTGTGAGGTGCTTGGCTCCAAATGAGGTGTGTGTTCAACATGAGCTCTCGCCCTTCTTTTATAGTGGAGTGAGGACAGTTTGGCATGGGAAAAATAGGAAACACTCGGGAACCGCCTCAGCATGCCACCATGCAACCACCGGAGCAACGTGGGTCCGAGAGGCGGCGCTGGGGGTGCAAGCGCACCCAGGGTGCGGGCTCACCTAGGGTGCGGGCGCAACCTGGCTAGCCCCGTTGGCCACCGCCTTGCTCTGGTGGGCTGCTGGCTAGGCCTAGGTTCCTCTCCCGGTGGTGTCTGGCCTAGTTTTGGCATGAAGGTGGGCTTTTGCTTGGTTCCTTGTTGTAGAGTCTGCATTAAACTTTCTGGTTTTGCACCTTTTGCTCATTTTCCACTTGTATTGAAATATTTGTCCTACAAAACATGTTTTCTCCAATACAAGTGGAACTAGGTCAATAGTACATGCATATGTGTCAAAAGTATGTTTATTTCTCCTATTTTGGACTATAATTGGCGGTCGGATTTCGTCGTTAGTGATCGCCAACATTGACCAGCTTGTAGCAGTTGCTACTACTATCAATATGGAGAGGCGAGCAGTTTGACTTCTTACACTTTTTCCTGTCTAAGATCGAGGATGTGATAGCTGATGCTATTAGTACTAGATGGCAGCACGTGTACCCTCACATCATTAGCTATCTGTGATGCACGATTGACTCTGAAAAGAATGTGCCGCTGTACAACGAGTCGACCTACAAGGTTATGACCTACATGCCAGCAAGTCCGGATGGTCATCGTCATGGACAGCGTGCCCTTAGGTCCGTTCAAGAGCCGTTACCCATATAGGATAGAGAAAGACACGAAATGGTGGATGCAACCCTAGAGGAGGCAAAGCACCAGTCTAGGATTGGAGGAATCTTGAATGTGCGAATGCAAAATTCAGACTCCGATGACAGCGACGACCATGACCCTACGTCAGACGACCACGACGAGGTGGGTCATCCTCCGGTGGTGTGGCTGACAAAGAGATGGATGACGTTCCGCCTACTACAGAGACGTTAGTGTTGGCGGTCTTTACCGATCAAATCCGACCGCCAACTAAGACACAAAAGAGGAGAAATTAGCAAACTTA